AAATGTTCTTCATCATGCTCACCTTTCAATTTCTGGACTTATTCACTTAAGTATATCTTCTTAATATACAGTCATATATATTTTGTTCCTTTTGAAAAAAGCACATCCTCTAGGGCCATATTAAAATCATTTCATCAAATCTCAGCAATAAAAAGATGAAAATTTACTCTCTTGAAAAATCTAGATTATTTTATTTATTAAACCCCTGTCTTCCTAGCTCTGAGGCTGGCTTTCTATTTCATTTCATTGTTCAGTTGTTTCAGCTGTGTGGTATATATTAATATATTAAAGAAAATAAATAATAAAATGCATCATAATACACATATAAGTCTTACTTCCCCACCAATGAACTAAATAGACATGGTGAAGAGTGAGGACACATGCTTAGCAGGGAAATACATGAGGGAGGAAAATTCATGTGCTTAGGAGAACTCACAACTCTAGATTGTGGGCGTCAAAGCTATTGATTCATTCAGGAACATCTGCATCACATTAAACTCCTTCTGTGTTCACTGTTTGACTGTTGATCCTCATTTCTATTCAGCTAGGGAAATTCTTCTCTTCTTTACTCCAATATAGCCATTTTAAGCTCTTTCAATTAACCACCCTTAAAGTGTTAACTCTTAATGTGAATAACAGTTCTCTTTAAGCCAGATAACTAAAGGGCAAGCACATCAAACTACCAATATTTGGGCTTGTGTAAATCAACCTAAACTCAACTGGTAATTTATTGCCTAATCAAAAGAGTTCACAAAAACACAATCAAAGTGCATTCTTAAAGCCAACTCCCCAGGACACTGCAGCACTTGTAATACCCCCTCAGCTTTTCATTCTCAAGCCAGAGGTGGCAACAGAAGCTCATATGAAGAAATGTCATCTTTTGACATCTCTAGGTGGAGGGGAAAAGCAGGTAGCCATCAGTGGAACTCTTGGCCAACGAAATCAGTTCTGTCTCCCACTAATCTGGAATTTTTCAGCTGGAGACTCTCAGCTGACTGCTCCTAAATACCACTCCATAAAAAAAAAAAAATTTACTCTATAAAAATAAACTTTTTAAGCATCCTCTGCTATTTCTTCAACTCTTGCTTCAAGTCCCTGATGTTTTCCCTGCCATTCTGTCATTACTGTACTGAATAGCTAAAACAAGAGTCTCCTGATTCTCAGTGACTCATCTTTTACTTTAAAAAATCACAACTCCCCCAAGTTCTGCTATAGAATTGATAGTCATTTTTTAAACATGACTCAGTTGTCAAATGTTTATACGGTTTCTCACTTTCTCAGTTTTCCCTCTAGTCTGTGTGTGTGCGCGCGCGCGTGTGTGTGTGTGTGTGTAAATTAGCTGATATACCTTCAAACTTTGTAGTTCCCTGATGTTCTCAATATGGTAATGTTATTTCTAGTTTCCTTGAAACTTCATTTCTTCACACTTGGATTTCTCTAGTTTTTAACAAACATATTTCTCTGCCTCTTTGTCACATCAAACTATTCCTACACAACTGAGGCATGACTCTACCTTGTTCACAAATCTATACCATAGTCCTCAAATCTATACCACAGATCATTTTCTCTCTAAAATAATCCCATATGAAATCTTTATTTCCTCATATATATATTTTAGCACTGTATATTAATATAAAGTTCTTTTTCTACTCTTATTAATTATCAAATTAATCATAATAGTGGATATAACAGAACAAAAATCCAACAGAGTTCTCCACTCTCCTCCCATCAAGACCATTCTTGTTTTTTTGTTTGTTTGTTTGTTTGTTTGTTTTGCTTTGTTTTGTTTTGATGAGAAGGAAAGAAAAGGCTCGATTTGTGGCTTCCTTAATACAACTTCCTGTTAGCTCCTGCTCATATTGCTATGGTTTCCTTGTCACTTAAGGTTATAAAAAGCACTACCCACAGGTGTTTAAGGCCCTTCAAACTTGATTGAGGTTGTGAGACTGAGGTAGTCATCACACATTGCCCAGAATTGGAAGGAGGGGGAACAGTCTACCAAAGCAACACATTGGTGTATTTTTGTTAAATATCCTCTGTTATGGCTAAATAAATCTCCTTTTGTTAACTGCTAAATGACTTACGAATGCATCATTTCATCTCAACATTGGACCTGAATTAATAGGCTACCACACAATATAAGCCTGAGTCAGGCCCACCTCAACAGTGGCAGTACCTCCACATTATTCAACAATCAAAATGCATCTCTTCCTTTACACAAAAACACTCTAGCTTTTTCCATTGTTAAATACTTTTTATGAAAAGGGCCTTGAACAATTAGTGTGCTTTGCCTTGTCTGACTTCCAAAATGACTATTGTCCACAGATACCATTACTCACCCTTCTTCCTTAATTCAGATCTGTTCCTTCTTAACACTCCATAGACACCTGCTAAGTCTTTTAATCACAGGCCATCTACTGTGTTTAGCCTGTTTTCTTCTAAGAATGGAGAGAAATCTCACTTGATAACATCCTTGAAAATGGGCTGCGCCTCTCTTCAGACCCCTACCAAGAAATGAGGGATTAAAGATGTAGAGTCCACTCAGAAGACTATTGCAATCATCCAAGCATGAACTTATAAAGGCCTAGATTAAGAAAATAGTCTATGCCTGCATGAGCACACACGCACACAAACACAAAATCACCTTGTGTTTATTTTGAATATGTGTTTGTGTTGCATCCCCTATAGAATGTAATCTCCTTTAGGGCAGAAGCTTTTGTTTTATATCTTTGCCAGTTTTCCCAGGATTTAGAACAGTCCTGACAAATAGTAGTCGTAATAAAAGTTGATTGATTGATTGGTGAAAATGAGAATGAAAATGAAAGGATGGATGTGAAATATTTTATGAAGTGATAGTGGAAAATGACTGGGTGAGTGACAGTGGACAAAAGAAAAAAAGGAAATCAGGGATGACTGCAAGGTTTTGAGCCTCAATGAACAGAAGCATGGTGGCAAAGGGGGAACTGGCTTGAAGCAGGAAAAATAGCTTAGGTTTAATATATGCTAATTTTTTCTATCATGGAAATGGTTATTAAACTGGAAAGGGAAGAACAAACATGATTTTGCATTTTTAATCTCTCCAGCACTGCATTACTGTACTACACAGCAACCTCACCTAGCTCCCTTGCTCTCCCACCTAACAACACAATTTGCTCCATAGGTCAGTTCAGAAACACCAGCAGGGAAGCCTAAACCAGTTTTGCCTTTATAGATTTGCTATTGGTGTGAGAGGAAGAATGACTGGGTGCCCTCATCAAGATTATTGGAGATAGTGGAGAGCACTAGATTCAGAATCAGAGAAATTAAGATAGAATCCCAGTTCTGATACTATCTGTTTGAACTTGAGTAGGTCAGCCTCTCTAGGCATCTCTTCATCCTCTGTAAAATGAGGAGGTTAAACTAGATGGTATAGAAGATTCTTTAATCTCTAAACCTATTATTTAATCATTCTATGAACAACTATACCTTCCTGCTCAGAAGATTAAATTGCCTCGTCTCAATAATTAAAAGGGGATGGAAGCCAAAGATAGGTGGCCCAGGGTTAAGATTAAATAAAAGCTCACAGAGACAAACTTTAAGTATTAAGGATTTCTCATTGATAAATCAATTCAAAGAAATATTCTCAGTTCCATAAGCATCTATTCAGCATCTACCATTTGTCAGTCACTGTGCTTGGTATTGGGGAAAGAAAACAGTGCAAGAGGTGAGATAAATGATAACACATGAACAGGTAAGTAATATAAAACATGCACAGAACAAATTCAATGTAATTTTGGAAAGAGGTGGAGAAGAGAATCAACAATTAGGTAGATAGAAAAGATGTGTAGGATGTGGAGCTCATGATAAAGAGGTAGATAAGAGAGTTAAGGAGTTTGAAAAAGAAGATATGAAGAAGTGAGGAGGACAGCCTGTATTCAGGCATGGAAATGGAAGATGAAAT